AGAAATGTAGTGAAACTGTGGGATCCTAACAGTCATATACGGAATATGTCAAATAAGTCGATAATGCCAAAATTCCAGCTTATGTCCATACCATAAGCTAAGCAGGGTCAGGCCTGGTTAGTAGTTGGATATGCAATGTGTTAGTTAGTGCTGTTGCCTCATAGGAAAAAGGTTCTGGTTCAAACCCACCATTTAGCCAGGGCCTTTCTGTGTGCTGATTGCATTTTATCCCTTTGTTTGTCTGGGTTCTCTCTGGCTTCTCCCACAATCCAAAGACATCCAGTTAGTGGGGTCAGGTTAATTGGTGCTTCTAAATTTCCCATAGGTGTTAGTGAGAATATTGTCTTTCTGTCTGTGTTAGTTCGGTGACAGACTGAGAACCTGACCATGGTGCACCCTGCCTTTTGCCCTTGGATGGCTAGGATAGGCTCCAAGCTCCCTCACAACCCTGAATTAAATAAATGAAAAGATGGACGGATGTCGGTTTTAGTCCACTACATTTCTGCAAAATGAGGTAACAAACTTTCAGAAAGCTGTAACATTACTATGCATGTAAGTGCTTTAGCTAACAACAGTGGCTTGCTACTGTTGTTAGCTAAAAGTTTTTATTTAGTTTTTATCTTTTTTTATTCAGAAAGGAGAATTATTCATGGTATGTTCATTGGTAGAGGAAGATTGAAAAGCTGTTGGCCAATAAGTGTGCACTTTCACAGTGAGATCCATCCCTTGCTTGTCACTTCCAGTTTCAAACAACAAGATGGTGAGACCAAAAATGCTAATCTCAAGGCTTAAAAATGGATGTCTCTGAAGGTACACCCATCTGCTACGCTGTTTAGTATTTCTAATAGATAGCTAACATTAATTTTATAATAGCTATGTAGATACAAGGTGCTAAAAAAGTCCTAGATTAACAAGCTAAATCTAACATTTTAGCCAGCTAGTTGCACTTGTACAGTATAAGCATGCCAGCTTTATTTTTAATATTGTGATGCTAACTTTATTCTCCTGTATTTTCTCCTGTGTTTCATTTAGTAAAAACATGCACTAAAGATTTAAATACTGCTTACATCTGGACAGGATGGTTGACACAGCTATAAAAACTGTTAGGGAGTAGTCATTTCAATGAGATTTTCCACATGCTTGGGAAACTATAGCAATAAAATGTTCACTAGAGACACACATGTTGCCTCTTACCCCAATCTGCCACTTTTACATGGCCTATTTGTCAGTGGTGAGATAGCATGGTGTCCATTACCATGCAAACATATAATGCGTTACTTTCTCTCAATCTCCCTTCCATCTTCCCCTGAGCTCCAGTTCCAACCCACTGACTCATGTTGTCATGGAGATAGATAGCCATAATAAATGTGAGCAGTGGTGGTATACTGGATCAACCATTTTTTAAAGGTGTCAAACACAATTTGTACATATATTTTCCCTGTGACTAAAAGTCTCACGGTTACATGAAAACAGAAAGACAAAGGTGCTGTTAAGACTCCACCTATGTCGACTAATCTTTCCTGTGGGCTGATTTCTCTTTCCTGTTAATGTGACAGTGTGATTAGAAACAGATGAAATGGAATGAGGGTGATGAAAAGGCAGAGGTGTTGATTAGAGAAAGCTGAGACAGGACTGGGAGGAGAGGAAGGAAGAGGTGGCAGAGCGTGAAGAAAAAACAAGAGACAAGAAGGAGAACAGCAAAGGGCAAAATGGGAAAACACAGAATAACATCGAGAAGAAACGAGAGCTGAACTGGGCTCAGAAGCACAGTCAGCAAAAGAATATGTTGCCTGAGGGTTTCAAAAACCTGTTGAATATATCATATCATATAACAGAATGATTTGATCGCAGAGTAAGAGTCAGGCAAAGAAATGCTGCAGACTTTTGCAGTGAGTCTTGTTATAAATGGTGCAACAACTGCTCTGCATGTGATCACTCATTAGCATGTAATGGAAGAAGGTGGGAGACGCTGAAATGGTGCTGATAATTGAAAGTGCGTGTACATGCTTTCTTACGCAGTCAGTGGCAAACACTGCAGCACTAATGAAAATGAAGGTCATGTAGAAGTCTATGGGAAAATTACTCTTGGTTTTCCTTATAAATTTATGGTCTTAATCACTAGTTTCAAGTCATAGTTGAATCTAACATGATCTATCACATCATCTTGTAAAGTATGTCCTATAGGCTGATGTTATATTTTGATTAGGAAGTTACTACCATATGAGTGTGCAGTGTCCCTCAGATCTGCCTCCTTCTCATCACATCTGGTTTTGGAAACACCAAGATCAAGGCAGACACTTTTTACAGTTCTGCATGCTTTGACTTTGGCATGATCTTGCTTTCTTCTTCCCTTTTTTCTTCTTTCGTCCTCTTAACTTCACGGAAGCAGCCGACTGCCCAAACAGCTAGCCTTGTTCCAAATATAATCATCCTACTAGTTTATCTAAAGCCTGCTACTTATGAGATTATATCTGGTTTCTTTAATCCAGCAGCCTTCTGGTGTCTGTAGCCATGAGGACAAAAGTTGAAGAAGTCACCGAGCTGGGTCAAAATCATAGTCCCCTACGTGATTCCTCACAAAACCCACAGCAGGCTGTTTGGTTTTGCTTTGTACAAAAGCTGACTGGGCTTTGGAAGTGCTGAATGCTGCAGGAAGAGCTGAACTGTTTCCCCTACCGTGTTGTGTGGACAAGCCCCCCCAATCCTAAGAACAGATTTTGACCTGAATGTTTTTCTTGATTTGCGACAGCAATCTCTCTGTGTGTTTCAAAGTTTTGTTGAAAGTTTATACAGGACCTTTTTCAAGACAAACCAGGTATAGCACAGATTGGCTATACTGGTCAAATATATACCAGTTATATTAGGGCATTAGAGAGATAAAAACAACAAGCCCTCTTCCTCTTAAAATAAGTTATATGATTTTGTGTATATACATATATAATAATAATATATATATAAGATATTATATTATAGCTATATTATATAATACATATCATTCCGCATACTACACTACTAATCATAACAATATAAATAATATACTCATACTACTAATATATAACTATATATATATATAGCATTTACGCATACTCAGTGATGAGCAGTATTGCTAGAAAAAGCTATATTTTGTATCCTACTTGTAGCTTACCTCTGACTCTCATTTCTTGTGTGGCTGTGGTACCTGTTTATCTCCTACAGGATCAGACTTTATCTGTCCTATCTTACATACCTCCTCACAGCTGGCACCACAACACATTTTTTAACAGACCACTTACTTTGAGCTAAAAACAATCCCTAGATGACCTGCTTTGCTGAAAGGTTATTTAAAGGCTCTTATCAAAACACAGACAAGCGGTTTCATCTTATCTGCATTTAAAGCATTACCGTCATACCATGGGGCATTTCATCAATGTCTTTTTAAAAAGTCATTATTTTGCTGCCTTTTCATGGTTCTAATCTCGATCTCCCACTGCCATAAATTCATCATTCCACCTGGTGGAGTATGCGCTCACACTCTCCCTTTATGCCCCTACAACCCAGTCTCCATGACAACAGGCTTTTCAAGCATAAGGCCAGGGAGAGGTATGATATGTGAGCTGCGTGTTAATTCAAATGCCCAAAACCTCGCTCCCTCCGTGTTTCTGTTTCGCTCACTCACTGGCGCGTTCGATGGGCATGCACCAAACACACACAGGCATAATTACAGAGACAGAGCAGTGATTTTGCTCTGTTATTTTCAAGGACATCTTTCTTCCATCCTGTTGTCTCTAAATCATTATCTCCGCACAAGTGCTGTACCTCGTCACTGAACGTGAGTGAGAGATGCTTCAACCTCCACAATACTGCTGCCACTTCTAGAAGTAAACATTGTAGATTTCTGTTTGAGAAAACAGAATCAGCACTACTGGCTTTTCATTAAACCTATGTAACATTTCCACGATTCATTATCCACTTATTTTTTTTCCTTTAACTTCATAGTTCAATTAATTAAATCACTTGGCAAAAACAGGGTGAAAGCATAAAGTCTCTTTGCATTGGATAAGCAAAGAAAATAACTAAAACAAACACATATCATGATTGGCAGCTGGTGTACAAACACTACGATCTTAGTGTTACTGTCAGTTTGGTCTAGCTTTCTGTTGCTCTTTTTGTCTCGTCTCCATCTCTTCTCTTTGTGACTAACATCGACGTACCTCTAGATGGTCTCCTCTGTTTGGTTTGCATGGTCAAAGTGCCCACCACTGCACCCATGTTGTCACTGTGGAAGCCAGGCCGGCCAAAACAACCCAGAGAGTAATAGTCCCTCTATTTACTTCACGATTTTGTCAGCCTGTCGTCCCGTCGCTGCCTCCTCCACGGCTCTGTACCTTACAGGATTTTTTTTTTTGCCCCTGTCAAGTCCTTTCACTGGGTCCAGATCTGTCACCGGGGGGACGCTTCTCCTCTTTGAGCTGACTCTCTTGAATTTCTGATCCCTGTCTCCAAAGACACACACACACACACACTCACACGCACAAGCTGCTCCTGCCTCTTTGCGCCACTCCCTCTGTTCTGTGCCTCACTCTACTCATCTGTCAGCCTTTACCCCCCCCACTCTTTCGAGCTCCCTGCCTCCTCATGCCCTTGTGGTATTGTAGAGTGGTGTAGTCACTAATAACGCTTACTGACATGTGAAGTGTGTGCATTTAAAGCACACACGTGTATTTTCTCAACCCAGTGGTTACTACTCCAAATGAGCAATTTGCTCCCTGAAGTGTGTACCATAATGAGGATGTAGCTATATGTAAGACTGCCCACTTGGGATGGCATTTGTGCATGCCTATGTTAACTCACCACAGGATAAAGGAGCACATCTTTTTCTCTATCTAGAAAGAATTAAAGTTAATTGTGAGATTTTGAAGAAATATTTTTAGAAAAAAAAACAAATCAAATGTGCTACAAACAAGAACATTTGTATTAAATGGTGCCAACGAATCTTCACAGAGTGGATTGCGTGTAACGTGGGATGGAAAGCTGTGGGGGTGAGTGATGCTTGTTTTCCTTCAAACTCAGAAAATAAAGCAGGGTTGCTGGACTGCAGCACAAACAACACAAGCAACAAAAAATAGCTAATCAGTAAAGCGTAAAATTTAGATTTCACTGTGGATTTCTGCAGGAGAATTCAAATGGTCTAAGTTTATGAAAGCTACTTGAAGGGCAGTTAGCTCAGTCTTTGTAAGCTGCTTGTAAAAACATTGAGATACACACAGAAAAAATGTGAATGATATTGCATCCAATCAAATATTCTACTGGCGGCCGACCAAAAAATGTATTGCCTTTGTCTCGCTCCTTGTTTGTGTATGTGTGTGTCTGTGTTTGTGCACGCGAGGTTCAGAAAACCCTCTCACACTTTAAAAAATTCATTGAGGGCCATTTTTTCAGTGCTGTTTCAGCTTTCTTGTTTCTTGAAAGTTGACGTCTATATGTTCTGTTCTGAGTATTAAAAACAAGATCCATGAGCAAAAATGATAATAATGATGATCAAATCCACACTGTATGGGAGTACAGATTATTTTTTACAACCTAACTCTGGAGCCTGACCCTAGATTAGCTGTGCAGTTCAGTTTCTTTGTGTGGGTAGTGCTGAGAAAAAGAACTTAACATGGACTAAATAATTAAACATGAAGTCATGCATAATTCTAAAATAATTTAAACTTCTCTCAACTTAGATATTATCTGAAGTTAGATGGATGTAGCCGCTGGATCTGAAAAGTGAAGCAAAATTAAGGATTTTTTCTTAAGGTTAGAAAGGGGCAACTATTTTGGCTCCAAAAATAAGTCTGATTGCATGCCAACCAATGAGAAAACGACCCTACTGCTTACTTTACAACCCCAGTAACCAGATTAGTAGCCCCAGCTTTTAGAGAATCCACAGTGATGTATGTTTTGTAAACTGTGATCTAATTTTGAGTAAAATAGATGATCATCATTGTATAGTCAATAAGATAAGTGACTGTATAGTGAATGGGGGTTATCAAGATCTACTGCTTACTTGGTGTCTGAAATCAAAAAAGCCAAGATGGTGAGAGCTGAGCGAGGGGCATTCTGCAAAACATTAAGGACCATCATGTTTTATATCAAGTGTCTGTCCTAAATTCTTGTATCCCAGTTTCATCCATTCAAATATAGTCCCTCTGTATAGTGACTTTCATGTAATGATTTCTCTGCCTTCTTCAATGCAGTAGTATTTATTTTTCCTTCTTGGATAATTCAGGAAGCATAAAGAATTCGTAAACTGTGTCACAGATGTTTCTAACTCGTTTATAATCTTCACCAAAAATAACCTGCTTGACATACAGAGAGTCACACTCACACACTTGCGATGGGAAATTAAGTATTCCGATTACTAAATAACCCGGTGTAATCCCTGTGACAGATGTTTGCCATCTGGAACAGTCTTAGTGCACTATGACAGACATTCAAGGACGCTGCATTGCAGTCTGGCTTCATAATCTCTTCAAAATCTTTTCTCTAATTCACATACAACCCCTTCTACAAACAGTGGGAAGGACACACTTGGACCTTGTACACTAATCAGCCATTATTTATGATTTTATCAGTCATGTTGTTTTCCATTGCAACTTTGGTTAGTGTTTTTTTTTTTTAATAAAAATATGAGATGAGAGAGGTGTTATCTATGGTTCTGAAACACAGCTGACACAACTGCTTGCTCTTTCTTTCATAGTCAGTATGCTCTGAGCAAAGCAAGAGGCACATTTGTGCACTGCCTATACTGTGTGTTTAGATTTAGTCGCTCCTGGTTCCAGTAAAAAAATCCCTTTATGCTTTTGGAAAATTACACGATTCCCTTATGAAAAACCCAACATACAGGCAGCAAAACCAAGAGATAAGTATACACACCCCTGCATCTGGTCTCTAAGATTGGAATAGAGTCCAGCCTGACATCCAGAACTAACCTGGGCATTGAGTTGCATCCCACTATATCTAGCCAGTACCTCTCAACTGCAAGAGCTCAAGCTCCTTACTCTACGGTGAGGTAATATTCCATGCCCCAACAACCACTTTCAACAGCTGGGGTTTGACCTGCCAGGGGCTCTGCCCTTGACCGCCACACAGCATACACACATTGCAGCCCAACATGGGCCAGTCCTCTTGTGGATTCATCAGATATCAGACATGCTGTAGGGATTTGGTGCATTGTGTGCTCGGTGGCTGGTTAAAATAACACATTCACAAGAAATCCTGTAATTTGAATGCAAATAATGATAGTGCACATGAAAGACTGTTCTTTTCACTGCCACATGTCCTTTTATTTCCCAAAGTGTTTCATTGCTCCATCTGCTTTTGGTATTCTGTATGAATGCATGCTCATGCACGCATTGAAGGCAGCTCATCGTTATCATTAAACTCCTCTTACTACTTCCTCTAACAGTTATTTCAACCTTAAAAAGTCCTGCAATTGCCATGTAAATCAAGTGAACCAAATGATGATTGGACAGGAATCACTTTCCCTCCAGTGGGCTGAGACAGCAGTTTCAGACCTCATGTGGCTTTCTAGTCTGACTATGCAAGAACTTGCATCTTTAAATTATTTCGTCTCGTCTTCTTTCTTTAACCTGACATTCAGTTGTGTCCTTTTTAGAGCTACTACTGAGATGGGAATTATTACACAACAGCTTTTGAAGCTAGTATAGCAGCTTTCTGGAAAAAATGGGGACATTCCTGGAGTTTGTGGTGCTTTTCACTGTCCCTGAATGTCCAAGTAAATTTGTGTATATTAATTACTTTTGTTTCTTATGAAATACAAAACCAAATAAACTAAACATAAATGGGTAATATATATTTTACTGTTAATACAACTACATACTACTTCTTATTAATGCCATTATTAATATAATAAGCTGAATTACAATGATTCTTTAGGATTCCATAAGGAACGTTTTAATAGAATAATCTCAGGAAGCCATCTCATATGATTTCAAAGTAAGTATGTTTATTTTTTTATATATGATAATACAAATGTTTAAAAGGAGATACTTTTAAAATTAAATCCTATTTTCAAAATGTAAGACTCTTATGAAAATTAAGAATTAGAAATGCATTTGTTGTAAAGTAAAATTAAATGGATGGATGGACCTGTACACCTGCAGTACCTTCATGGCCCACCAGATGCCATCAGCTTACACCTTGGGAATCACTGGTTTAATGCGTCATATAAAGATTAATTGGATGGTATCATTTTCAAGGTTTGACTGATGATTAAAGCTTGTTTTTATTGTAATAACTATTTATTAATATAAGAATACAAATTTAAGCTTCACCTTTTAAAGATTTAAGAAAAACTAAGCCTGAAGACTGTGTCTTATTAGAAAGCTGTGGCTCAACCTTTGTGTGTATCTGTGACAATATGATGCTAATTGTAATCCAAACACTGAGACTGGAGTCACTTATCTGTAATGAATGCTATATAACAAATCTCAGTAACATTTGAAAATTGTTAACAAATTCACAGTATAGTGAATAAAATGTTAAGCATCTAGATTTAAGTGTCATTGTTTGTTGTCAGATGTGATAACAAAGATCAGATTGGAAATAATAAACTAAAATACATGATACAATTATTATTGATGAAGACTATTTATCATATGTACTAAATTTGAATGCGTTTTTATTAATTGTGGTTATTATTATGCATTCACCATTAATGAAGCTGCTTTGGCTTCCATCACATCTTTTGATTTACCTGTATTTGATGACTTTTGAATCTTTAGGCGAGTACCCACAGCTCCCCTTTTTGCCACTTTGAAATGTGTATTAAGTTATCTGTGAGTGCAAAATGATGCTTTATTTCAGGAGGCTAGATAATAGTAATAATACTAAAAAAAAACCAAAAATGCATCAAGCATCTTAAAAACAGACAGTCACAAATTTAGTGTGAATGTTCTTACAAAGTGTTTTTAACCCTGCAAGACAAAACCCATCAAAAATAGCCAGAAAATTCAGATTTTTTGGAACTGAGATGTTTAATAACCCCATAACAAAATCCACAAAAATCATTTTGCTATGTCATGTTGTGTGAAATTATTATATATTTATTTATTTTTTTTTATATATCACATTTGATACATTGGAGATTGTTAACAACAATGTTAATTTTAGACAAAAAAAGAATTTTGTCCATAACATTTTGAATTTATGGCAAGTATTGATCATGTTGATGAGATAGAGGTCTCAGAAACTCATGTATGAGACATGATACAAAGTGCATTAGAGGGTTAGGTTTTCTCAGCAGAGAACTCTAACAATGAGCTCAAGTTTCTAATGCTGTGGTGTTACTTATTAAACGACAGATGGCAGCAGAGCGTAACAGGTCCTGATGCAAGCAGCAGCTCATGTCGCCATTCAAAGCAAGTTTTGCTCCCGATTTAATGCATCACATGCAAAAATCCTCAGGGAACTACTAAATATGAACATGAAAGACGAATTCCACAGAAATGTGGCTGAGCAAACATAACCATACTGGATCGAATAGCCATCTAACCATAGGAGATTCTGCATATAAATACCAAGTAGTAAAACAACGTGGCTGGACAGGAGTAATAGTGGGGCGAAACACGTATACACCCACAGAGGAGGAAAGTGCAAGAGATAAAAATAAATCTAGAAGAAGACGGTTACATAAAAGTATGTAGTGAGGTGATGTAAAAAATTAAAAGCAGAGACACACACTGTCAGCTCCAATCCACTGATTCTACAGTCACAAAAAAAGGGAAAGAATCAGAGGAGAAAGATTTTTTTTTAACCCCTTAGCAGTCCTATTAGTCCCCTAAACCATCCAATGTCCCGTGGGCGGTACGTCCGACTGCTAACAGTTTAAGGAAGATGGTTGTAAAACTGGAGTT